AAAAGGCCACTGATAATCTCCCTCGATCTGGGGCTCCACGCAAGATCTCACCCCGTGGGGTCAAAATGATCACAAGAACGGTGAGCAAAAATCCCAGGACCACACGGGGGGACCTAGTGAATGACCTGCAGAGAGCTGGGACCAACGTAACAAAGCCTACCATCAGTAACACACTACGCCGCAGGGACTCAGATCCTGCAGTGCCAGACGTGTCCCCCTGCTTAACCCAGTACATGTCCGGGCCCGTCTGAAGTTTGCTAGAGAGCATTTGGATGATCCAGAAGAGGATTGGGAGAATGTCATATGGTCAGATGAAACCAAAATAGAACTGTTTGGTAGAAACACAACTCGTGTTTGGAGGAGAGAGAATGCTGAGTTGCATCCAAAGAACACCATACCTACTGTGAAGCATGGGGGTGGCAACATCATGCTTTGGGGCTGTTTTCTCCGCAAAGGGACCAGGATGACTGATCCATGTACAGGACAGAATGAATGGGGCCATGTATCGTGAGATTTTGAGTGCAAACCACCTTCCATCAGCAAGGGCATTGAAGATGAAACGTGGCTGGGTCTTCCAACATGACAATGATCCCAAACTTACTGCCCGGGCAATGAAGGAGTGGCTTCTTAAGAAGCATTTCAAGGTCCTGGAGTGGCCTAGCCAGTCTCCAGATCTCAACCCCATAGAAAACCTTTGGAGGGAGTTGAAAGTCCGTGTTGCCCAGCGACAGCCCCAAAACATCACTGCTCTAGAGGAGATCTGCATGGAGGAATGGGCCAACATACCAGCAACAGTGTGTGCCAACCTTGTGAAGACTTACAGGAAACGGTTGACCTCTGTCATTGCCAACAAAGGATATACAGTTGTGTTCAAAATAATAGCAGTGTGTTGAAAAAAGTAAATAAAGCTCAAAATCCTTCTAATAGCTTTTATTTCCATACACACAAATGCATTGGGAACACTACACATTCTATTCCAAATCAAAACATGAAGAAAAATATATCAAATTTGTGTTGTTCCTCTAAAAAAAAATTGAGGAAAAGTGAATATTAGACTGTTCAAAAAAATAGCAGTGTTTGTATTCTTCTTTACAAACTCAAACATTCACAATATAAAGTGAAAAATGTTTGAAGATTTTGCTTTCCTTTGAATCACTTCATTAATATTTCGTTGTATAAGCACTGTTTCTGAGAACTGCTGTACATCTGTGTTGCATGGAGTCAACCAACTTCTGGCACCTGTGAACAGGTATTCCAGCCCAGGATGATTGGACTACATTCCACAGTTCTTCTCTATTTCTTGGTTTTACCTCAGAAACTGCATTTTGGATGTCACCCCACAAGTTTTCTATTGGATTAAGATCCGGGGATTGGGCTGGCCACTCCATAACGTCAATCTTGTTGGTCCGGAACCAAGATGTTGCACGTTTACTGGTGTGTGTTTGGGGTCGTTGTCTTGTTGGAACACCCATTTCAAGGGCATTTCCTCTTCAGCATAAGGCAGCATGACCTCTTCAAGTATTCTAATGTATTTAAACTGATCCATGATCCCTGGTATACGATAAATAGGCCCAACACCGTAGTATGAGAAACATCCCCATATCATGATGCTTGTGCAACCATGCTTCACTGTCTTCACAGTGTACTGTGGCTTGAATTCAGTGTTTGGGGGTCGTCTGACAAACTGTCTCCGGCCACTAGACCCAAAAAGAACAAACTTACTTTCATCAGTCCACAAAATGTTGCGCCATTTCTCTTTAGGCCAGTCAATGTGTTCTTTGGCAAATTGTAACCTCTTCAGCACGTCTTTTTTTTTTCAACAGTGGGACTTTGCGGGGGCTTCTTGCAGATAGCTTGGCTTCACATAGGCGTCTTCTAATTGTAACAGTACTCACAGGTCACTTTAGACCTTCTTCCTGGAGCTGATTGTTGGTCCTTGCCATTTTGGCTATTCTATCTATTCGAATGGTAGTTTTTTGCTTTCTTCCACGTCTTTCAGGTTTTGGTTGCCATTTTAAAGCATTTGTGATCATTTTAGCTGAGCAGCCTATCATTTTCTGCACTTTTTTATATGTTTTCCCCCTCTCCAATCAACTTTTTAATCAAGGTACGCTGTTCTTCTGAACAATGTCTGGAACGACCCATTTTCCTCAGAATTTCAGAGAGAAATGCACTGTAACCAGCATGTACAACATTTGCTGCCTTCCTTCCTTAAATAAGGGCAATAATTGCCACCTGTTTTTTTAAAGAATGAATGACCTCACTAAGAGAACTCCACACTGCTATTATTTTGAACATGCCCCTTTCAATTACTGATTCAATTACACAGAATCTGCAGCATGCGTGTCATGACTGTTGGGTCTGTTGGATTTCTATTACTCTACTACACCTGCTAGTAAATTATGTGCCATGTAGAAATATCATTTCTACCAAAAACAGCGATTGATCAGGTTAGTGATGTCTGACTGCTATTATTTTGAACACTACTGTAAAACAAAGTATTGAGATGAACTTTTGATATTGATCAAATACTTATTTTCCACCATATTTTGAAAATAAATTCTTTCCAAATCAGCCAATGTGATTGCCTGGATTTTGTTTTCTCATTTTGTCTCTCATAGTTGAGGTCCACCTATGATGCCAATTACAGGCCTCTCTCATCTTTTTAAGTGGGAGAACTTGCACAATTGGTGGCTGACTAAATACTTTTTTGCCCCACTGTACAACATAACATTGTTACATTTGTATCTACTCGGTTTCATACCTGCATATCAAAGGTATGAGCTTTGATCTGCAGATGCTGTCAGGTTGCTTTGACTGACAGCATCTGCAGATCAAAGCTCATCCCTTTGATAAGTAATTTTTTTTTAACTTGAAGTATTTGTAACCACTTATTAACCTAATCAGCTCTAATTAACACCTTCCCCTTCCTCTAGTAAAATACAGAAAAAAATAATATCCAAACTTTTTTTTGTTTCATTTTTTTCAATTTCACCTTTAAAAAATCACAAAATTGGAAAACGAAAAAAAAAATCTTATCTGCAAATACCTTTTACTTTGTACCAGAGTCATAATTTTAAAACAGCACAAATTAAAGTGTTACACTTTATCTACAGTAGCACTTTTTAAACCAATACTGATCAAAAGTTTTTTTTTTTTTGTCTAAGGATTGCATTAAAAAAATAATTTCTGCAAGCCAACATCATGAAATGGAGGTCCTTTAAAAAAAGAAAATATTTGTATCACTTTGTTAGCAGTAATAGTTAATGCCAAATAAACCGGTCCATAGCAGAACTGTAAATTGTTCTGGTCTATAGAGGATGTACATGTTGAGTAAGTAGTTAAAGAGAATGCCTAGAAGATTAATTATATGAATTATTGCATGGGACTAGCTTATATTCTCAATTTCAGCACTCCCGACACATGCATGTGCGTTTATGGGGGGGGATTTTATGTGCTTGGGTGTAACTTGTGTCCCCTATTTGATTAAAGGTTCTCTTTAATGGACTCCACTCAATGTATTGCAATGCATTGCTTCTCAGCTGTGGTAGCCGGGAAAGTGACAAATGACCCAGAAGTAACATCATACACGTCGATGTCACACTCTACTCACTCCCCTCCACCCACCAGTACCTGCCATGTTGGCCCCGGGCCTGCAGATGGGCAAGCAGAGCCCAGAATACATGATATGGGGTACTAGTACTGGGGGTGTGTGGAAGCAATCAGGTGGCAGTGCAGCCGCCCGACTGCTCTCACTTGACAGGTGTGTCAGTTTTAGACAAATCTCGGCTGCAGCCACTGGATTGTGGGGGGGAAACCTGCTGTCAGGTCCGTACAACATATGGACCTGGCAGTGAAAGGGTTAAAAAGTGGAACTTCACCCTCCTACTAAAGTTCCCTCCTCCCATTTTGTATAAGAATAGCACTTTTTTTTTTGAAGCGAAACATCCACACCCCCCGTGCACATAACTCGCCTAGGCAAATGACATGCATAGTGCTTGCTGTGCCTCCTGGGAGACATAAGGGTTGATTTACTAAAACTAGAGTGCAAAATCTGTTGCAGCTCTAGATAGAAACCATTCAGCTTCCAGGATTTTTTTTCAAAGCTTAATTGAATAAGCTGAATTTAGAGGCCGATTAGCTACCATGCACAGCTGCACTAGATTTTGCACTCTCCAGTTGTAGTAAATCAACCCCATAGTGTTTAGCAAAGAGGTGGGTGAGGAAACCTAGCGGCGCATCATCTTCATGACATCAGAAATACGGCGGTGTCAGAGCGATCGGGGGCAGAAGATTAGAGGATATAATTGAGCCAACGCCGGATCTGCTGGGTGGGTGAGTTAGTATCTGAAATTTGCAGAACCCACCTCCCAGTATGTTGGATTAAAAACAAAAGGGGCTGGGAAAAGGGTGATGATCTGCTTTTGAATACAGCAGATTTTCACCTTTACCCCCCCCCCCCCCCCTTTTTAAACTTAGCTAAAACTAAATCAACCCTGAACCATCAGAATTATCTTTAAAACAGCAGAGGGTAATTGAGAATTATCACAGAAACATTGCAGCTGCTCCAGACTAATGTGTTAGTAGTGGGGTTATAGTGAGAAAAGCAATTTGATTATTATCTAAAATCCACAATACATTCAGACTAAGCTAATAATGCATCAGAAATGTGATAATAGAAACAATGTAATATGGGTATTCAGTGCTAATTTTAATTGACCGAATAGGTACATATTCAGCCTCCTATAGAGGAGTCTTCGTATATTTATTCGCCAGGTACCTTCTTGAAAAGAAGAAACGCAGTAACCTTTTTAATGAATGCTTATTTAGAAACACAGTAACATTTTAATGAATATTTATTTAGAAATCATGACAAAGTAGTGGGTAGGCTTATGTGTCCATCACAGATATACAGAGGGGGACACACAATACATTTTGCATGGTAAGAAATGGCTTCATGAAACTGAAGTGTAGAATTCTGGAGACGTCCACCAGTGGTGTCAGGAAGATGCTGCACTGCTGGCAGGCTGTGGATATGCTTGTAAAGCCAGTTCTATATAGCCTGGTTTCTTTGCTTCCATTTTAACAAACATCTGCAACAATCAAGAGAATACAGATAAAATGCCTTCCAGAGTTTGGATAGCAAATACATTATTTAATTCAGCAGCCAGGAGAAAATATTGTTGCACTTACACTCAATAGCTAAATGTGTTTCAAATAATGAAATTCTTCGTATACTCGGGTTTAGTTTTAAACTATGTAGATGAAAAGATGAATATGTTGCAGCTCTTTGATCTGCAGCAGTTTGAAGGGATATTACGGTTTACATAAACCCCATCTCTATAAATGACTAGTCAACATACAGGCACACATTTCCTAATCTATAGAAGATGGAGGCTTTTCATCTTCTGTCTCCCTGGTTGACCCATGATGAAGAATTTTGCAGTAAGTACATAATCCCCTTTTTGATTTATACGGCAGGAAGAATTTCTTTATGCCAGCTCTTAGATACTTCTTTGCCATGTTACCAGACTTCAAAATACATACTTGGGAAAAAGAAAGTGTTACCATAATAAGATCCCTGCCGTCAGCTCCCTGGGATTCTCTTGCACACTCAGTATCAGGATGTACCATGTGGTAGAGTCGCACTAGACTCACAGCATCATCTAATCTGGAGAAAAACAATAGTGAAATTGCACAGATATGTATTTTCTCTAATAGCCAGGCTAGGTATAAAAAAAGGGGGTTGTTTTAGCTGAAGTGGCAGGAAGACATCTGCCTGCCTTTCCAATTCGCTACCAGCTGAATGTATTATATCATGTGGTGACAGTCCGATTCCCTTTTCTTCATAGCAACAGAGACAATCACTCCCACCTTGCAGAGATTACATGTGTACTTGTTGCAGTATATTCCTTAGTTATTTAGCACCTAGATTCTACCATGTCTTCATTTAGTTTATGGCAGCCATTCTCAACCTTTTCACTTCTGAGGAACCCTTGAAATATGTTTCAGGTCTTGGGGAACCCCTGGAGAACTTTGGAAGTCAGTGGGAAAATTGTCTACTACATTGGCCTTCAGTGGGAAGAATACCTCCTTACAGTTACCTAAAAGGTTCACTGATGTCATTTTGCTGACTCAGCTAAGTGGTGTTGGCCTGAACTATGCAGGCACCATCAGATGGGAGGTTGATCAGCCACCCACAGAGCAAGGACCGCTGGTTTACAGCAGGCGTCACTAAATGGGGGACTCCTCTCCTCCCGCCACTGCAGCTGTTAAAAGTAACAGCACACACCCTCTTCCCTGCTGTGAGTTCAACAGGCGAGTACATACAGAAGAGGAGTCCACCCTCTGCAATGCTGTGTTAAGGTATTACGGTCAAGGGGGAAGATGTGATAAGGGGGGGGGGGGGGGGGGCTGGGGGGGGCTGTAGGAGAAGGAGGAGCTGTGATATGGGGGGGGGGGGCTGTAGTGTGAGGAGGAGCTGTGATATGGTGGGGCTGTAGTGTGGTGAGGGAGCTGTGATGTGGGGCTGTATGGGGGGGAGGACTGTGATATGGGGGGGGGCTGTAGTGTGTGTGAGAAGGAGGAGCTGTGATATGGGGGGTGGGGCTGTAGTGTGGTGAGAAGGAGGACTGCGATATGGGGGGGGGGGGCTGTAGTGTGGTGAGAAGGAGGAGCTGCGATATGGGGGGTGGGGCTGTAGTGTGGTGAGAAGGAGGAGCTGCGATATGGGGGGTGGGGCTGTAGTGTGGTGAGAAGGAGGAGCTGCGATATGGGGGGGCTGGGGGTGAGGAGGAGCTGTAGTGTAGGTGAGAAGGAGGAGCTGCGATATGGGGGGGCTGTAGCGGGAAGGAGGAGCTGTATGTGTGTAGTGTGAGAAGGAGGAGCGAGATGCGATAGAAGGAGGAGCTGCGAGATGGGGGGGGGCTGTAGTGTGGTGAGAAGGAGGAGCTGCGATATGGGGGGGGGGGGGGGGTGTAGTGTGGCGAGAAGGAGGAGCTGCGAGATGGGGGGGCTGTAGTGTGGCGAGAGGAGGAGATGGGGGGGCTGCTGCGAGATGGGGGGGCTGTAGTGTGGCGAGAAGGAGGAGCTGCGAGATGGGGGGGCTGTAGTGTGGCGAGAAGGAGGAGCTGCGAGATGGGGGGGCTGTAGTGTGGCGAGAAGGAGGAGCTGCGAGATGGGGGGGCTGTAGTGTGGCGAGAAGGAGGAGCTGTGAGATGGGGGGGCTGTAGTGTGAGAAGGAGGAGCTGTGAGATGGGGGGGCTGTAGTGTGAGAAGGAGGAGCTGGGGTGTGAGAAGGAGGAGCTGTGATATGGGGGGGCTGTAGTGTGAGAAGGAGGAGCTGTGTATAGAAGGGGGAGGCTGTAGTGTGAGAAGGAGGAGCTGTGATATGGGGGGGCTGTAGTGTGAGAAGGAGGAGCTGTGATATGGGGGGGCTGTAGTGTGAGAAGGAGGAGCTGTGATATGGGAGGCTGTAGTGTGAGAAGGCGGAGCTGTAATATGGTGGGGCTGTAGTGTGGTGAGGAGGAGGAGCTGTGATATGGGGGGGCTGTAGTGTGGTGAGAAGGAGGAGCTGTGATGTGAGAGTGTGCGATTGCAAGAGGGGCTGTGATGTAAGCAGGGCTCTGAAGTGAAAAAGGGGGTTGTGATGTGAAGGACCCAAGAGGCACAAAACAAAAACGAGATTCGGACCTCTGCAGAAAGAAAATGTTAACTGAACCTCCGTGAATTTTAATTCAGTACCCCGGGTTTAGAGGTCTGTTACTCTGTTAATACAACTGGCTGGGACCTGGTGATTGACAGCCGCTACCACAAATTGTGGCACAGGTAGGGCGCATGCGCCCCCTACCCGGATTTGAAAAACCTCTCACACACACGATTTTGCGCACCCGTGCCGCCCTGTAGCAGTATATCTTCTATAGGGCGGTCAGGAAGCAGATAATATACCTTCCTATTTATTTACCAACGCTAGCAGCATAAGGATTAAAAATAGCCAACGTTAACTGAGTGAGTGAAGTTGCGCTTTAAGTTCACTATAGAGTAAAAGCAGACTGTACACTGCTGAACCTACATAAACGCAGAAGGGGCCCTAGGTTTTACAATACATTTATAAGAATGTAAAAGAATTTTGTATGAAATATTAAACAGAGAGGGGTGGGACCTATGCTGTTAAACATTTTATGGAGAGCAAAAAATGCTTTCATTCTCACTAACTGAGGAACACAGGAATTCAGATACTTTCAGCATATTCCAAAGCACTCCAGCTAAGAGGTGCACAGCAGACCAACAACCACTAATAGGTCCAACAAAACAGATTTGAGGATGGCCTGTAGGCAAAGAGCTGCCTTAAGAACCAATGCCAGAATCTGAAACTGGATGAGGCCAAGCGCCCTACCAAATAGGGGAACCTATCAACATGACCCAAGGGAGTACAAGGAGAATCAACCTTATGCTCAAGGCTAATAAAAGAAAAGGTCACCACCAGAGGGCAATAACTCCACATGGAAAGAAATACCTAAACCTGGACCAAGTGAAAAGCTGAGAACCAGAACCCACCAAAACAGAATAACAGATTCCCCTGTAACAAAGAAAAGAAAAAAAAGAAAATGCTGATGAGCACCAGGTACCACTGAGGGCAACACATGCTCCAAGGGTATGAGATCCTTCTAAACAGGGCAGCAGTGGCCCAAATGGGGCACAGCTCAAGAGGCCAAGCTGACCCAGGGACTGGAGCAAGGAGTCTAGGAGCAAGAGGAACTCATGGGACTGGAGAGAGTGCATTAATCTTTGCGTTAGTACTAGGAAGAGAAGAGGGAGTAGCTGAAGAGAGTGAAAGAGGTAATGGATTGGCTTGTGAGCCTAGAGGAGTGTTCTCTGCAAACATCCAAAGACCCACAAGGATTCACAATCGGCTCCCACTTGTAGAAGTGGAGACACACTTTCATGCAGAAGACCTAGCTGGAAACTGATCTCTAGCTTTGCGGGTTGTCTTAAGGTCTGGGAACATCTATTGGAGAAATAAATGAAGAAGGGTGAAGCTCAGCTGACCCATCCTTGGACCTTTTAGTTTGAGGCAAATGTGTGCTCTGGCCTCCTGTGGAATTCGATAATGGTATCAAGTTTAGGTCAATGACAATGTCCCTGAAGCCATGCAAGTCAGGTACGTTTTTGAGTGCTTTATACATCAATGTGGACATTGGACCCATATGGGAAACAGGTTTAGATGCCATTAAAACTGAAGCATGTGGGTCCAGACATATGTTGCACCTGCTTTATTACAAAAGGGGTCTACCCTGGCTGTAAAGAGATCCTTTTTGAGAGATCTAATCTGCTACAGTTTAAAAAGTTAAAGGCTAAATTCACCTTTTACTTAAACTGGTTGAAGCAGGCAAGGGGCCCCAGTAGTTTTAAATTCACTGCCATTTATAACAACATTGTTTAATGCAAATGCTATACATGTAGGCCTGTTAAGTCACTCAAGTCTGTCCAATATATTCCCAATGTTTACATTTCTATGTCCTGGCTTATGCCTGTTGTTGGACACTTGCCCCAGCAACACAAGAGCAAATGTGCTTCCTGATTCTAAAGCTGCACATGTGCAGTGATATCTCTATCATCACAGCAAAGACTCTCTCCTAACATATCCCCACCTGAATCCTCTCAGTGCTGTAGACCCTTTCCATCTCACACTCTGAGCTATAACAAAATGGCCACTGAGCCTTCTTCTATGAGGACAACTAGAGATTATCACTCAAAAGGTGCAGCAGCAGGATGATGCTTAATGGCAAGAAAAAACATAAAATGTGTGGCTCTTCATCCAGATGATATCAGTGCTCATTTCTAACCCTTTCCACAGTAAAATCAGTAGTAGCAAAAAAAAAAAGCACCCAGTGGTGCAAAATGTGAGGTAACTCCCAGAGTGAGTCTTCAGAGACAAACAGACAAGTCCTGAAGCAATGCCATGGCTCTGGACCTAGAAAGCGCTCTGCAGTTAACTTCTACCAGTACTTGATGTCTACAGAGCACCTAAGCAGAACCCAGTGCCAGAAAGACACATTACTATCCCTGCAAGTGTTCAGTTCAGTAGGGTCCGGGTATGGTACTCCAAAGTCAGGGTGAAAAAGAGGCCAGTCTGCATATCTGCCAAGTAGAAGCCAGCTTAATCAGTGATGTAGCAAAGAATCTTGATTGAAGTCAAATAGAAGAATAAATCCAAAATAAAGAAAAAAAATGCTCACAAAAAGCGATTAAACTATTCTTTTTAGAGCATGCTAGGTAGAGGAAGGGCTATCCTGGGCTGGCCTACAATTTTATCATTTTTTTTTTTTGCCAGTGTCCAATCCACCTGTAAGCAGCCGTATAACCCTATAGTCTCTAAGAGTTTCAGTGGCTTTCAGTTGGATTAAAGTAGAACAGCAAAACTTTTTTTTTTTCATTTTGGCCAGGGTAAGACAGGGTTATAACCTCAATTATTTTGCCATCTCTTCTCTTCCAAAACAGGAAGTGACCTGAAATCCCTAGCGTCCACATCAGAAGATTTCCCCTCTATTTCTGTTCAATTTGGAATTTTTGTTTTTGGTCATAACAGTAAACAGGACAAATAGAGACTAACTTTCCCTAATGGGGGCACAGAAAGGCATTCTAATCCATGTCCACTCTATAAACAGAAGGATGGTATATTATAGATATTTTCGTATACAATAATCTTTTAGATGTATGATTTAGTAACTTACAAATCTTGTTGAAGCATGTCTATAAGAAGTCCATCAATGTTCTTTAGAGAGCACAAGTGCCACACCATACCTCCAAAATGCCGTGTCGACCTCAACAGGTTATACTTTCTTTGCTTGTCAATGTCCTGAAATATTTCGTTCCTGACCTACAACACAGGAGTGAAATATGCAAAATCACTCAGGAGGATAATATCTGTGTTACTGTAACCACAGACTGGCAGATCATTCACTCATCACCATTGGGGGAGATTAAAACTGGAGAGTACAAAATCTGGTGCAGCTCTGCATAGAAACCAATCAGCTTCCAGGTTTTATTTTCAAAGCTTAATTGAACAAGCTAAAATGATCAGCTGATTGGCTACCATGCACAGCTGCACCAGATTCTCAGTGCTCCAGTTTTAGTAAATCTCCCCCATTGCCTTGATCACTGCATCCTTCCACAGATAGTCACTCGGAGCTCTGGCACAGAGAAAAGAATGTTCTCTATTCCATGAAAAGAAAGAGAGGTGCCTGAGAGATAAACATTTTTAAAGCTAGATTATGAGTGCCTAGTCTTTAAAGTTAATCTCCAGACAAACCACAAAATAAAAAATTGTTGAAAAACATAAGTGAACTGTCTTACCAGCCAAGTGATTTGTAATTATACTCAACTTTTGATTAATACACCTCTGCTTGGCATCACAACCTGGGTGTGACAACACTTGTTCTATCAGAATTACAGAGCACCTAACTGGCTGCTGATTGGACAATAAAGCAGCAACACACTAAGCCATTAAAAGGATAAGTTCACCTTTGGGACCATGTTACATGTTCCACCTGTTTTTAAAGGTGGAACATGTAACATGTTCCCACTCCTGCAGCCGCTGACTGTAGTGGCAGCAAGTGGGGAATATTCTGCCCCTGCTGGATATCATTATTTTAAAAAAACACGGGGCTCTGCCTACCCAGCCATGTCGTTCATTAACACGGGTTCTGTGAATGAGAAACTACAAGTCTCCACAACCTTTGCAGCTGTTGGCTTGTAGTTCTCAATTTATTATCATGGCCCTGTTGGGTACTCTGGTAGTTCATTGTCTCTTCCTGTCAGTGTGTAGCTGCCTGCCTGTAGAAGGAATAAAGCACAAAGATACACCGACAGGTCTGCAGGAGTCCTGCATGGTACTCACAACCTACTGATCGCGAGTGCAATGCTTTACAGGCTCCAAGTAAAAAAAAAAAAAAAATTAAATGTACATTTTTTTTTTATCTGTAAAACAGACGTGCATTTATTTTAATTTTTTTTAAAGGTGAACTTATCCTTTAAGATATTCCTCCTGTCAGCATATGTCCATGCACTAGAGCCTAGTTGGCTCCCAATGCTGCCCCTTTCTCTCCCAGTGAAAGTACCACTGTGCAAAGAACTATAGAGCGGTTGATATTAACACAGAGTTTGGTACTTGTTTTATTTGAATGTAAAATGCAATTGATTACTTTGTTAATGAAATACACAACAGCAACAAAGAGCGTTTTTGTGCATCTACCTGGAGTTCAGTGCTAACCTGGTATTACTCATTTACTACACACAAGGATTATATCTGTTCCATCACAGATGTGCATCAGTTCCTATGTTGGACAACTGTGTTAGGCAGACACATTTAGTATCGTTCTGTATGCTAAAGCTGAGGTTTTATATCTATACAGTATTATTATAGGTTTGTTTCAGCATAAGATATTGTTGGCATGAAATAAACATTGCTGATAGGTTCATGGCTACTGTATGATTAGGGGCTAGGTGTGAAGGTTACAGAATAAAGATGAGAAGGGTTTTGGAATTTCATGCCGTCCAAAAAGATCATAAGCACTATAAGCATTGGTGCCAAATACCAATCTGTTCTGAAATATTATTCATTTATAATTTATTGGTGTTGAAACTTCCTACACCAAAGTTCACAAGCTGAAAATCAAGATACCAGAGGCCTTACTAAGTACTTACCTTTATATATTCTCCGGAATCAGGCTCAAACTGGATAATGCAGCGGTCTAGGAGCTCTTCGTGTCGATCTTGATTAAATACATGCTGCAAGGAACAAGGAAGACATCACACCCCAGTTTTGGCACTCAGCAGGGATTCTTGCATTTAAGTGTGTCATTTACCTTCATGTTTTTCTCTTTGAACACAAGTGAAGGGACCAATCTTCGACCTTGGAGGGGAAAATAAACCTGGATCATTCGGTCTCTCTCTTCCCAGGTGGCTTTCCGCAAAACACCATTTGTCTCTCGCACTACAATAAATCTTTCCTATGATTAAACAAACATATGAGAGTCCTTTAGGCAGAATTCCAACCAAAAACAAGATAAAAATTATTAGCACATTAAACAACCAAAAAACAACCTTTTCTACAATATTCAATTTGAATCAGTTTTTTTTCCCCCTAACAACTAAATGTCCACAGTTTGATGGCAGCATCATTAACCCACTTTCTCTAAGCCCAGGGCAACCTGGACCCCCTTGTGACTGAACAGTAAAATGAGAAGCAACACAATGATGAGCACATCTTTATGTCACTCTGCTCTCTTCTTCTCTCAGCATGCTTCTAGACAAAATATGAACTGATTGGCTTTTTATACAGCTTTTCCTCTCACATCCCAGCCCTGCTGTGCAGGGACTGCAGGAGACCGATACCAGGTTCTAGTATTTAAAATGCATGCATTTAAAAATAATTTTAAAGCTGAACTCCAGGGGATGTAAAAACCCTTTCTTGCAGTGGGACTGAATCTAACACTGCAAGGATTAAAAGCTTGATCACCTCTAGGGGAACAGGAAAATTGGATTTTGCTACCTACTTACCTGTAAAATCCATTTCCACAGTTTGAAGACCACTGTCCTAAATCAATAAAGAAATTTGAGGGGAGGGCGACACCTTGATAGCCACCATCAACATTCCCTCAGGACCTACTCAGCCGTCCGTAAAACACTGCGGCCAAAGGCAGAATCCTCTGCAGCTCTGACAGCCACCTGGTAGAACCTTGTGAATGTGTGAACTGAAGACCACGTAGTGGCCTTGCAAACCTGAGCCACTGACGCCTGATGACAGATTGCCCAAGATGCCCCCCCAAATCCTGCTTGTGTGTGCCTTCACCCAAAAGGGTGGGACCTTACCTTTCAAACCAAAGGCTAGAATGATCAATTGGCAGATCCAATGTAAAATAGTCACCTTGGATGCCACCTACCCTTTCCTAGGCCCCTCAGGCAGCATGAACAGGGCATCCGACCTCCTGACCTGTGCTGTCACCTTCAAGAAGACCCTTAGAGCATGTACTGCATCCAAGGTCTCTTGCTGACTGACGCCCAGGAAAGAATGAAGGTAGAACGATGTCCTGACTGAGATGAAAAATAGAAATCACTTTTGGTAAACAAAAAGTCGGTTAAGGTCGTAACAAAACCTTATCTTGATGCAAAACCAGAAGTGGTTCTCTGCAAGAAAGAGCAGCTAGCTCCAACACCCTTTTCATAGAAGTGATTGTCACTAGAAACAAAACCTTATGAGTCAACAGGACCAGTGGAATATCCCTAATAGGTTCAAATGGTGCAAAAACTTCCAAAACCAAGTTCAGGTCCCAAGGACACAAAGGTAACCTGACAGGAGGAGAAATATGCATTACTCCTTGGAAAAAAGTGCAAATCAAAGAGTGAGACACAATGGACCTCTAGGAAAAAAAAAACAGCTAATGCTTAAGCCTGGCCATTAATGGTACCAACAGCCAATTTCTTCTCCAACCCTGATTAAAGAAGACGACAGAATCCTACCAATCACATATTTTCGTGGGTGCCATTTACGGACCTCACACTAGGAAATGTAAGCCTTACAAGTTCTGCAATAAATGTTCTAGAGACTATCTTTCTAGCGCTCAACATAATGGGGATTACGGAAGCCAATACCCCCTTTTTCTTCAGGATCTGGGTCTCAATAGCCATGCTGTCAAATTTAGTGGCTGTAAAGCTGGGTGCAATATAGGTCCTTGAGCCAGCAGGTCTGGCTGGCACGGCAGAGACCATGAACCTTCCACTGCCAGTCTCACTATGTCTGCATACCAGGTCCTCCTGAGCAAGGCTGGGGCAATCAGTATCACCAGAAATGATTCCATCCAAATCCTGCATAAGAGACGTGGCAGCAGCTGAATCAGAGGAAAAGCATAAAATCAGAGAAAACTGGCTCCAAGGAATCACTAAGGCATCAACCCCTGTCACATGAGGGTACCTTACCCTTGACACAAAATGATTGACCTAGTAACCCCATCGCTGGCAGATTGTTTAATACTGCAAATGTAAATTTACCATTCCCGCCACAGGACTCTGAATCATAACAGGAGTCCAACCTTCACCCATCACAGTGGGCTTTGTCATGCAGACCTTCAAAAGACTCAGTCCCCACAATGTGGGGCAGCTGCCTCAGACCTGTGCAGCACCCCAGCAGAAAGCGCCCTTGTCAGTATTTACTGCACAGGGTTCCATTACGCAGGGTCCAACGCCGTAAGGCAGTATTACAGGCAAATCCCAGAGGACTCTTCTTTTTATGCAGTGAGGCTCAGGTACCATCCATCTTGGCTAAGCAGCTTTCCGAATGGATCCGATTTAAGTCCATGATTCCCAAGGGAACCCACTCAGACCTTAGTTATGCTCCTTGGAGCACAAGCAACACTTTTAGTGACCATCCATCTTACAGACACTGGCAAAAAAACTGAGGTACTTCCTGTGTAAGAGGGGTTATATAGGGGAGGATTTCCTCTCTGATTGATCAGCCAGTGTCCATTCACCTAGAGGTGGCGTATAATCCACAGTCATGAATATCCTGCTCTGTGTCCTGTGATGTACGATAAAGAAAAGCCATTTTACTGAATGATCCTCTGCTCCTGCAGGCTCGTCCTTGATGGTTTCTGCAGTCTGTTCTCATCTATGTTCTGGCAGTCAGATGCCCCTGATATCATCAAGACTGATGCAAAGTCTCTCCTCATTGGCTCACTGGCTGTGATTGATAGCAGCAGGAGCCAATAGGCTCCCGCTGCTGTCTGAACTAATGAGGAAGAGTTCCCAAACAGCAGAGGCTTTTGGCAATGTAGCTGGATAGGAGGGGGGCCAAGTCATGATTGGGGAGAAGGGGGAGGGCTGCTGTATACACAAGGTTTTTACCTTCATGCATAGTATACATGAAGGCAGGGGCAGACTGACCATTTGACACTTCCTCTCTCCAATGGGGATACAGATCACAAAACACCTGACAGGGCTTGTAAGCTTTCCCTTGGAAAGCTGGACTTTGATTCAAGTGATAGGGGTTTTATGAAAAGTCCTATGGAGATAATATGGAGTAATGGCCCTCGCACAAGCTGGCAGCAGTTAAGAACCTAAAAATGGTCAGAGGTAGCCTGACATAAATCAACACAAGTTCATTTTCACCCAGCAGCCTATAGTTCTAAAATTGGTCAACCAGAATCTAATGTCAAAGGGCGGCTAAAAACTGAACAAGAATGGAGGTCACAAAATTGCCATCCATTCCATTCAGCAGGGGATCTACTCATGGATTCCCTTTTGAACAGAAAGAGGAGTGCTCCCATCTGAAACTAAGAGCTATTTGTTTCCCTTGGTACCAGAGCTCAATTCACAAAATGTAACACACCAGCAGAATATCTTTATTAAAAAATATATATTTTTTCCAGAGTCCAGTAAGATTTAAAAATTACAGACACGTGGCTGAAAATAAAAATCCTTAAAATGCATCCAAACAATAAACTTCTCTTACGTGGTCCTGTTTATTTTGGTATTGAGAGGTTTGTTAATTTTAAGAAAATGCCTATTGTTCTTGCCTCAGATCAAGTGAGCTGACAACTTCCTGTTGTCTCTGACTTTTACATTGTTATTAGTTAGCTCTGAGGACTACAGAACTATATCCCTATATGTTATGGAGAAGGGTGCTATCTTGTTTCTTTTGTCCTGAAAACAGAGGGGCAATTGAGTGTTGTCACCCTAACAGAGAAAAAGCGTTACTGGATAAATCACCAGGTAAAAAAGAGAACAAAGCTTAAAAAAGAAAGTGAACTCAGCCACACCATCTAAGAACTTATAAGTTAAAGTATATTTTATTTTTGTTTTTGGGTTTAGATACATCCTAGTGCTTAATGAACTGAGCCATCATGTTGCTTCAGCCAGGCAGTATACTTACTTGGTGTGGTGTGCTGTAAGTTATGTCGGTGAACACATATTTGGCAGTATCTGTGCCAGAAAGAATCTCATCTACAGTCAGGATTTCATTTATTGGTGTCCGTTCCTCCAACATAGGTGGCATCTCCAAGTACCTCACTGCAGTCTCTGCAGCTTTCTGGATGGCCTATGTGACAGGAAAAAGTAAACTGTTAGCACACCATGGCTTCTTCAATACATGCTATCCAAGAAAATTAAAGAAACCTACAAACACAATCTATTTCTTTACCTGAAGTGGGATCATCAATGTTCCTGCTGGTATTAAAGTCCTATTTTTTTTTATAAAACCATGGGGCTTTCTGCATACAAAATTATTATTAATTAAGGAATGTATCTCAAGATAGATCACTAGTAACTTTTACAACCCCTGGCAAAAAGTATGGAATCACCACTCTTGGAAAATGTTCCTTTAATTGTTTAATTGTGTAGAGAAAAGAAAAAAAAAAAAAAAAAAAAAAAAAAAAAAAAAAAAAATCGGGCACATGAGTGACTTCCCGGAGGACAGCCACATGTAGTAGAAGCTCCGTTCCTGCCACAAGTTCTGCCTGCTCTCTGGGGCCAGTCTGCTACTCGGATTTTTACTTTGCATGCCGTCAACTAAAAAGAAAGGCAAGGGGACCGCTCAAAAGTCCCTTACTAATTACCTATTGCGGAAACAGGAGCAGTGCAGCATGTTCCAAGATGGCGCCGGGAGAGCATCCCCATTCCGTTTCTCACAGGACACAGTGGCCCAGTCCTCTGCACAGGAGAGCAAGTACTCACAGCAGCTTGCAAAGGGGGATTTGGAATTTTGTCTGGAGACTATGTATATTAAATTGGCTGCTAAATTTCAATCAGAACTTTATAAAAGCACGAATGTCCTTTCTCAGGAGACAGCTGCAGTTGAGGCCAAAACTGATCGTTTGGAAACGAAACATGATGAACTCAGTTTGGCCTATGGCGAGCATTCCAGGGACCACGACCTTTACTCAATTACAGGCGCAGGTGAAAGATCTTGATAACCGTAATCGCAGGAATAACCTGCGCATCCGTGGGGTCCCCGAGACAGTGACTGATCTTTCACAAGCTATAATTAAGTTGTTCAAGTCCTGTCTTCCAGATCAAGATGCGAAGGCCTTTACTTGTGACTGTATACATAGAACGCTGCGTCCAAAGCCTCCTATAGATAAACCTCCTCGGGGACATAATTCTGTGCATGAAAAATTTCCTGATTAAAGAGGACATTCTTTGAGCTGCTTGCAAAACCCCTATGATATCCTTGGAGGGTTCGACCCTGCAAATTTTTACAGATGTCTCTCAGGCCACGCTGGAGAAGCGACGCAAAATGAGGAAGGTCATGTCTGTCTTATCCTCGGCTCGAATTCGCTACAAATAGGGCTTTCCCTTTAAGTTGATCATTCCACACAATGGAAGCTAGTATACATCTACTACTCCTCTTGATAGTCAAGAAATCCTGGTGAAATTGGGCCTAGCAGATGCTCCTGCGCCTCAACGCCTACCCTCAACCTCCTGGGTATCTCCCATTTGGAACACTCCATCTGCACGGCATGATAGGAGGAGAGTCAGACAAGAGGCCGTATGATGGTGATCCTCGGTTTTAGCTGTTCTCCCCCACCTCTGATCACTTATTGGGACATGTCTCTTGACGCTTTATCATTAGTTGTGTCCGTTATTTTTGGGTTAACTCCCTATATGCCTTGACATGCTACATGTTTTATATGGGTTCTTAGGCCTTTATTATTTGCTTGCAGGCTGGGTCTGTGAGAGCTGTCGATGTGCAACCCCACCCTGTTGCCAAGTATGGTCAGAGGTGCCTCTGCACTGTTGTGGAGTGGCTGCTCTGCTCCTTGTGTTTCTTGGCGGCAAGGTTTGGGCCCTGATGGCCTCTGGAAATGATAGTTTTCTGTCTTTTCAGGTGAGGCAGTTCGCCTACCTGATCCATGGTTTCTTTTGATCTCCATAGTTATAGGGGCTGCTCTGGCCCTGCTTATATCATTTTATGTTGTTTTTCTTTTTTGGTACATGATTGTTGTCATGCTTTTGGTTGTACAGCTGGGCAATCCCCCCCCCCAGAATTTTTTGCTACGATAATGTTGTTAAGTGCCCTTTGCTACATGTTTAAAAATGGTGATCCATTGCCTTTCACATAATGTCCAGGGTTTTAATTCTCTGCATAAGCGCAAAACAGCTTTCCAGTATAGGCGGCTAGGGGCGAAGATCCTTTTATTACAAGAGACCCATTTTGCAGCGGATAAACATCCTACATTTTTCCACAAATCATATAAGCAAGCATTTTATATTTTACATTCCACCAAAAGTAGGGGGATGGCGATGTTTTTCCATAACTCATGTTCCTTAGATGTGCAACAGGTCTATCGTGACCCAGAGAGCAGGTCGTGAACTTACAATAGCTAATGTTCATGCACCGAATTCAGCTCAGGCTAACCTTTTATTCAAATTTTTTTGAAGTTCTTGATAAGTTCCTGTCCTCCCATTTATTGGTAGGAGGTGACTAATTTGGTGGCAACCCGTTATTGGATAGAAGTTCCTCTTCACCCTCTTCCCCAGCCTTCCCAAAATCTCTTAAGAAATGTTTAGATTCGTTCCAGCTGATTGACTCTTGGAGGGCTCATAATGTGGGAGCTAGGGATTACACGTTTTATTCCCATCCGCATGATTCCTATGCTAGGTTGGATTACATATATTGCTCTCCGATCCTTCTGGCCAACTCTACAGTCAGGTCCATAAATATTGGGACATCGACACAATTCTAACATTTTTGGCTCTATACACCACCACAATGGATTTGAAATTAAACAAACAAGATGTGCTTTAACTGCAGAATGTCAGCTTTAATTGGAGGGTACTTACATCCAAATCAGGTGAACGGTGTAGGAATTACAACAGTTTGCATATGTGCCTCCCACTTGTTAAGGGACCAAAAGTAATGGGACAATTGGCTTCTCAGCTGTTCCATGGCCAGGTGTATGTTATTCCCTCGTTATCCCAATTACAATGAGCAGATAAAAGGTCCAGAGTTAATTTCAAGTGTGCTATTTGCATTTGGAATCCGTTGCTTTCAACTCTCAAGATGAGATCCAAAGAGCTGTCACTATCAGTGAAGCAAGCCATCATTAGGCTGAAAAAACAAAACAAACCCATCAGAGAGATAGCAAAAACATTAGGCATGGCCAAAACAACTGTTTGGAACATTCTTAAAAAGAAGGAACGCACCGGTGAGCTCAGCAACACCAACAGACCCGGAAGATCACGGAAAACAACTGTGGTGGATGACCGAAGAATTCTTTTCGTGGTGAAGAAAACACCCTTCACAACAGTTGGCCAGATCAAGAACACTCTCCAGGAGGTAGATGTATGTGTGTCAAAGTCACCAATCAAGAGAAGACTTCACCAGAGTGAATACAGAGGGTTCACCACAAGATGTAAACCATTGGTGAGCCTCAAAAACAGGAAGGCCAGATTAGAGTTTGCCAAACGACATCTAAAAAAGCCTTCACAGTTCTGGAACAACATCCTATGGACAGATGAGCCCAAGATCAACTTGTACCAGAGTGATGGGAAGAGAAGAGTATGGAGAAGGAAAGGAACTGCTCATGATCCTAAGCATACCACCTCATCAGTGAAGCATGGTGGTGGTAGTGTCATGGCGTGGGCATGTATGGCTGCCAATGGAACTGGTTCTCTTGTATTTATTGATGATGTGACTGCTGACAAAAGCAGCAGGATGAATTCTGAAGTGTTTCGGGCAATATTATCTGCTCATATTCAGCCAAATGCTTCAGAACTCATTGGACGCCACTTCACGGTGCAGATGGACAATGACCCAAAGCATACTGCAAAAGCAACCAAAGAGTTTTTTAAGGGAAAGAAGTGGAATGTTAGGCAATGGCCAAGTCAATCACCTGACCTGAATCCGATTGAGCATGCATTTCACTTGCTGAAGACAAAACTGAAGGGAAAATGCCCCAAGAACAAGCAGGAACTGAAGACAGTTGCAGTAGAGGCCTGGCAGAGCATCACCAGGGATGAAACCCAGCGTCTGGTGATGTCTATGCGTTCCAGACTTCAAGCTGTAATTGACAGCAAAGGATTTGCAACCAAGTATTAAAAAGTGAAAGTTTGATTTATGATCATTATTCTGTCCCATTACTTTTGGTCCCTTAACAAGTGGGAGGCACATATGCAAACTGTTGTAATTCCTACACAGTTCACTTGATTTGGATGTAAATACCCTCAAATTAAAGCTGACAGTCTGCAGTTAAAGCACATCTTGTTCATTTCATCTCAAATCCATTGTGCTGGTGTATAGAGCTAAAAATGTAAGAATTGTGTCGATGTCCCCAATATTTATGGACCTGACTGTACGTATGCTGGGATACACTTGTGTTCTTGGTCGGATCATAATATCATGGCGTTGTCTATCACTTTTATAGGCCTAGCGTGTACTCCTTACTCCTAGTGGTTGAATGACGCTACGGTCACAGATACCACCTACCGTCAAGACGTAGCTACTTCAATCCAAGAGTATTTTCAGCTGAACAATACCTCTGACACCACCCCGCTATGCTGTGGGTGGGTCACAAGGCGGTTCTACACGGCCGCCTTATTTCTATGGCGGCAGCCTGGAATAGGGATCATTGGAAACAAATTCAGACACTCACCAAGGATCTGGAAGCGCATTATAGAGCTCATGTAGGTAACCCATCCATATTGAATAGGGGCATGATATCACAACAGCGCTTAGAACTGAATACCCTGATATTATTATTATTATTATTATTATACAGTATTTATAAAGCGCCAATAGTTCGCTCAGCGCTGTACATTACAAAGGGGGACAGAACATGTCACAGAACAATACCAATACAATGCAAAACATGAGGGGATTGAGGGCCCTGCTCTTTCGAGCTTACAATCTAGGAGGGAGGGGATGGTGGCACAGGAGGAGATAGCTGTGGGGGATGGAGTGGTAGGAAGAGTGGAGGAGGTCGGCAAGTTAGCAGGGGGTGGGGTAGGCTTCCCTGAAGAGATGGGTTTTCAGGGTGCGCCTAAAGGAGAGGAGAGTAGGTGATAATCTGATGGGTTGGGGCAGGGAGTTCCAGAGGA